ATGATGTTTTATTTTGTGTTGTAAAAGTTGATTTATAATACAATACTTACCCCCTGGTTATTATAAAGAAATGAAAAATAAATTTATTTAATTAGATGATGTTTTTATTTTGTGTTGTAAAAGTTGATTTATAATATAATACTTACAATCTGATTATTATAAAGAAATAAAAAATAAATTTATTTAATTAGATGATGTTTTATTTTGTGTTGTAAAAGTTGAATTTATAATACAATACTTACAATCTTGTTATTATAAAGAAATAAAAAATAAATTTATTTAATTAGATGATGTTTTATTTTGTGTTGTAAAAGTTTATAATATGATACCTACACTCTGGTTATTGTAAAGAAATAAAAAATAAAATTATTTAATTAGATGATGTTTTATTTTGTGTTGTAAAAGTTGAACTATAATCCAATACTTACCATCTGGTTATTATAAAGAAATAAAAAGAAAATTATTTAATTAGATGATGTTTTATTTTGTGTTGTTGTAAAAGTTGAATTTATAATACAATACTTACTAGCTGGTTATTATAAAGTAATAAAAAATAAAATTATTTAATTGGATGATGTTTTATTTTGTTTAGTAAAGTTGAATTTATAATACAATACTTACCATCTGGTTATTATAAAGAAATAAAAAATAAATTTATTTAATTAGATGATGTTTTTATTTTGTGTTGTAAAAGTTGAATTTATAATACAATACTTACCATCTGGTTATTATAAAGAATAAAAAATAAAATTATTTAATTAGATGATGTTTTATTTTGTGTTGTTGTAAAAGATGAATTTATAATACAATACTTACTTCCTGGTTAATTATAAAGAAATAAAAAATAAATTTATTAATTAGATGATGTTTTATTTTGTGTTGTAAAAGTTGATTTATAATACAATACTTACCCACTGGTTATTATAAAGAAATGAAAAATAAATTTATTTAACTAGATGATGTTTTATTTTGTGTTGTAAAAGTTGAATTTATAATACATACTTACCATCTGGTTATTATAAAGAATAAAAAATAAAATTATTTAATTAGATGATGTTTTATTTTGTGTTGTAAAAGATGAATTTATAATACAATACTTACTCCCTGGTTAATTATAAAGAAATAAAAAATAAAATTATTTAATTAGATGATGTTTTATTTTGTTTAGTAAAGTTGAATTTATAATACAATACTTACCATCTGGTTATATAAAGAAATAAAAAATAAAATTATTTAATTAGATGATGTTTTATTTTGTGTTGTAAAAGTTGATTTATAATACAATACTTACCAACTGGTTATTATAAAGAAATAAAAAATAAAATTATTTAATTAGATGTTGTTTTATTTTGTGTTCTAAAGTTGAATTTATAATACAATACTTACCATCTGGTTATTATAAAGAAATAAAAAATAAAATTATTTAATTAGATGATGTTTTATTTTGTGTTGTAAAAGTTGAATTTATAATACAATACTTACCCCCTGGTTATTATAAAGAAATAAAAATAAAATTATTTAATTAGATGTTTTAATAAAAATTATTTAAGTTAATTTTATAATATTTACCATAATAGAATTTAGCTAAACATTATTATAAAGAGAAATGTTAAGATGCAAAGTCCTACTATTATATTTTTAAAAAAGTTATAAGAAAAAATACCTTCATTCATTTTTATTATAAGTGAAACAAGATTTTAACAGAGGGATTGTGCAATGAAATTTTTATTATTAATTGCCGATCTGTGAATAAATGAGTAGGTTCAGTTCTGCTGAACCATTCAAGCATCTGAGTCGGCTCCATTACACAAAAATCAAAATGTTTCGCAGAAAAAACAAGGTTACAACTGGGAACGCAATGTGAGCTTTGCTTTTCGTGTTACAAAACACGTATACCGTGCTACGCGAGAATAAAAATTCAATCAGGTTGGGTTTTGCGTCTTCTTTGTCGCAAAGAGCAAAAAAATGACATCACTCGGGCCAAGACAATAGTCTATTTTATTAAATTCGAAACATATAAATAGGACAGCCGTCCAAACTTTTTTTTTGTTATTTTTTCGTAGAGAAATTCCTCTCAGGCCATTTCAGCGCACGGAACTCAACCTTCTACATTCGGCCATATGAAATAATTGTTCGTTATTATTTACAACATTATTACAGGAGACCGTTCTGGTAACACAAAATTTTAACCCACGCAATTGACCAATTAAAATTGTGAATTTAAAAATAATGTGGGTTTGATTCATTTTGTCAACAATCACTTCACGAACAATTGTTTCATTAACAAATGGTTCAAATTTAAGAAGTTGGAAGCAATCATTTGAAATAGTCTAATAAATTAAACCGTATTACTCAAAAATGTATTTAAAGGGTTGGTTTTCGACTTGGTTGAAGAATAACTCTCTTCACTTGACCATATCTCTCAATATAATCAAAATAACCTTAATATAACGAATGTCAAAATGATTGTAAACGCGGCCAATTTAAGATATATGATCAAGAGGAAACATGAACAATGTATGAGAAAATCAAACAAATTTATTTAATAAAACAAAATTTACAACTCAAAAAAATTTTTTTTGCATGTAATAAAATTCCATTATTAACTATTAACAATCTAATTATATAGATCTTGACCGATCAAACCCGCCTATATAGTTATTGAATAATTGATAATAATAAAACGTTAATTAAATATATTTTACAAACAGCTTCGTAGATCTCGACTTTAAGACTTACTTTGATCAAACCCGCCTATAATAATAAACGTTCATTTTGGAAACTTGATTTGCAAATAGATCTTGACTTTAACACTTACTTCTACCAAGCCCGCCTATATAATTATTTGAATAATTGATAAAACGCCCATTAAATATATTTTACAAACAGATTCATAGATCTTGACCTTTAACACTTATTTCGATACAAGCTATTCAATAATCAATAAACCTTCATCAGTATATTTTACAAACTTGCTTTGGAAGTTACGTATATCATCATACGTCTTGTATTTAACAGTTAACTTTTTCTGTTTAATTTTATTTTTTTTAGATTACACAATAAAAAATTATGGAATAAATTTAACCCAATGAAATGGTTGTTATCCCATAAAAGAATAGATTTCAATTGTTAAAAAAATCAACTAAGCTTTTTTTTTCTTAATTAAAAGAAAAAAAGAACCTTCGCAAAGAAGAACCCTCGTGTGAATCAAAAGCCATTTACGAATTTCGATTGTTAAAATCTTTCGTCCAGAACACCCACTATCTCTCTCAAATGGTCAAAATCCAAAAAAAAATTTTAATTCAACACGAACAATCAAAAAAATTTTGCACGTATTGTTTTGTTTATCGATCATTTTTTTTAAAATTAACAATGAAATAAAACGTTTTTGAACCCCGATCTCGTGACCAGAAAACATCACTAACAAGCCTTTGACGATCCGAGGTAAAGGTTCCAAGACAAGACCATCAGTTTTTGGTCATTTTGAACGGTCTGAAATGTCAGAGCGAGACGAAGACCTAACGGTAGACAGCAGTCGACACCATGTAAAAAACATCTAAAGCGAAACATGATTTCCTTTCAGTCAAATATCTGTTTCGCTCAACCCTAACGTTTTGAGCCAAAACAGATAACAATTGGGATTCACACGGTATTGTGACGTAAAATAACCATAACCGTTTATCATTTTTTTGGAAAACGAAAATATTTCAAAATTTCAAATCAATTTGCAAATCATTTCAAGCCAGCGCAGCAAAGAAAAAAAAACGACTCATCACAAAGTTTTACCCTTTGATTTTGATCTCATCCTTCCCCAAAAATTAAGTTTACTAAAATTGAGAAACAGGACGTTTAGAATATTCGTGCTGATTCGTATCGTAACTGAACTGAACTAAATATTCTTTACAAATGAATTATTTCCCGTGCAACCAAACATTTCAAAATTGGATAAAGTCGTTAGATTAGGGAAACATATATACAAAAAACAAGAAAATCATTATCATCATCCGCCCACAAATATCGCTTTAACATAATCTAGCTCTTCTTCATCTGATAAAACCAAACATTAATTATTAGTGCTATTATTATAACTATTTTCAATTATTGCTTACATAAAAATTTAGTATACATAAATTAATATATGCACTTACTACTTGAATACTTTTTTCTTTTCCCTTTTCCTTTTCCTTTTTCGTTTTTTTTACAACAGCACTTTTAATATTTGATAATGATGATGGTGATGGTGATGGTGACACTTCTGGACATCTATCTAGCTGTTGTTTTTTTAGAGATCTCATGTTTGCCAGTTTCTATATCTTTTAAGTTTTGTAAGATCTGACCCACCAATAATTTCTTTTTCGCTTTAAATAATCTGCATCATCTTCATCTATACTTCCTTCTCGCTCACACCAAGAAATTCAATATCAGTAGAAGACAGGCCCAATCGATATTTATGTCCGATCTAATAAATAAATAAATGACAAATATTAATATGTAATCTTTAAAGAAAAAGACTAGAATAAGAAAGATTAATCACATGGATGATAATATTTTTGATCCACTTTGAACTTTCTTTTTCTTATCTCATCCAAAACGTCAGTTTTTCCTGTCTATCAAATCTAAATATAAGTTTCTCCTCTTCAATCAAATCAGTCATAGGTTCAAATGACCCTCCCCCACGCATGAACAGATTAATATAATTTTTGTTTAATATGTTGATGGTATCTGACGAAAATAAGGACCCTTTCTTGATTTGATATTTCTTGTGTATACTTTTTTATTTTCACGCTTCTCCTTTCGTTTTTGTATTTTTTTGTGATTCCTTTTCTTTGGATTTGGCTTGTCGTCTATTTTGTTGTAATTTATGTTATTTGTCTCTGATATTTTATAAACACTCCCGATCTGTCTAGATTTTATTTTTAATTAATATTAGTTATCATAATTATTGTTACAATTAAATTACAGGTTAAATGATATATATCATTCATTACCTTCTTCTTCGTTAAATAAATGTTCTAATAATCATAATATTATAAATAACATTTTCCTCCAAAATAATAAATTAATCTACCTTTATTATTACGTATTTTTAAAAAAATTTAATATTATAATAATTTTATTAGGATATTTCAATATTATTAATTAACAAAAAGATTTACCATTTAATTTAAATGGGTAATAAATAAATGATCAAAATCATCCATCATTAATAATAATTATTATTGGTTGAATTATTTCTTGTAAAAAAGGTTGTTTACCAAAGGAAAAAAAACATGAATATTAAGGAGATTGTGTTGATAAAGAAGATTTTGAAGAAGATAAAATAGGTATATTGTGAAATATAAATAATTAGAAATGATCTTTTTAAATTTCCTATAAAATTTGATATTGATAATATATATGAAATTTGAACAATAAATTAAATTTAGATAACTATTAAAATATGATGACTGAAAATGATAAGGAACGATATGATTAAATAATGAATAGTAAATTTACGAAAAGTCAAATCAAACATTAAATCAAGGAATAAATGAACACTAAAAATAAAATAAAGATATTTTTACCTCTTGACATAAATTTTAATATCGATGTTTAGGTGTTTATTCAAACCATTTACTCATCCATATCTTGTTATAATAAATATCATACAAAAATAAATTATATATTATTAAAAAATTTTACCAAAAAAAAATATACTAACCAACGTCTTTATCATCATATAATCCTTGTAGTGCGAGCATAAAGAACGTTTTAAAAAGGGTAAACAAAAAAACTTTGAATATATTGCAAGATAACCACACCCTTTTGGGTCAATTACCTGCAAAATTCAATACTTTGGACTTATACCTAAAGGTAAAGACCAAAATAGCCTAATCCACAATATGACCAAACTTTGCTGAGTGGCATAGTGGCATAGCAATTCTTCTGAGCACCACAGAAAAAAGAATTCTTTATACCTTTTGCATATTATATATTATTGCTTTTACAAGTATGTTCAATTATTTATTTATTTAATATATAAATGCAACGCTTGAATCTTATTATTATTATATTATAGAAAGAAAAAAAAAAGAGCCAAGTGTAACACAATGTTTCAGGATCGTGGCAGAAAAAATTTTTATAAGAACACCATGATATATAAGAAATAGGAGAAATAGGATTATCAAAAATAAAAAATCACTCGAAAAAAAAAAAAAAGTGCCTTTTGAGGACGAATAAAGAATTATTATCGCCATTCATTGTATATTTCAATCATGCAAGGATAATAATTATCATGAAACTACTTTGATTTTTTTCCCGTATATTCCTTAAAACTAAAAATGCCTCAAATTAAAACTATTGTTAATATTTTATAAAATAAAAGTCAAACCGCGTTTGAATTCTGAGTTTGAACACACACAGGCGGGTCAATACTGTTGGTATGTAGAGCAATTTTTATATACATACGAGTTGTACTAACTTGATATTTTTTCGAATTTTGACTTTGAAGTTAACTACGCGTAATAGTAATGCGTAATAATATTTTTAGTGCCCGACGAACATAGGCTGGTGAATATTGGTACGTAGAATAGTAGATGTACAGGTTTAGGTGCAAGTGTTTGTAGGTTTTAATTTGAAGTTTTAAAATAGTAAAAGAATGCTGAAATTCTTTTTTATTTTTCAATTTTTCAAGATCTATATTTAATTCTTTATCAATCCTGTTAGAGAAATTAAATAAACTATTTATAAAAAACTCTATATACATCAATTAAAAAATTAAAATTAAAAAAAAAATAAAAGAATGAAAAAATTCTCGTATATTGATCGAATTGTTGGTGTGATTGTTGTTGTTGTGATTATCGTTGTTGTGATTGCCGTAAAGACCGAATTTCTTGTTGTTGTAAGTTAAGTTGCTCTCGAATCGGTGGTTGTCGTCGTCTAACTATGGTTCATTTTTCCTTAAAGAATTGAATTGTGATCAATAATCTTTTCTTTTAACTTTTTTAATATTGTCCAGGATATATTTTAATAATTGTCATGACCCTTTAATCAAAGCTACTCTTGACTAGCTGGAATTTGGTTTGTTAATAAAAAAATTTTGGTTGTAAGAGTGGCTGTAGGAGTGGCTGTAGGAATGAGAGTAGGAGTTGGAATAAGCGGGAGAAGTTGTGGTCGGAATAAGTTGTTGTAATTGTTGTTGCATTAAAAATGCAAATGTATCATTATTGTTGTTATTATTGATATTATTGTTGTTGTTGTTGCTCATTTTATTTATATATATATATATTTTTATCTTTAATTTTGATAAAGTCATCTAAAACCGACCAATTTTACTCGGCATTTTTGAAGCCCATCACATGGACACACAGAGCACTTTTGGACTCAAACTCTTCACAATTTTATATAATAAATGCCAAAAAATAATTCTATGGAAAGTTTGACGTAAAATATTTATTACTTAATTTTTTCATAGATTGATAACTATTAAGGATGATGTTCTAAAATTTTCCAGGTTTTGCTTATAGTATTAAAAACAATCCTGAAAATTACTAGAAAAACTGTCTAAGGATCGAATTTTATTACTAAACTAAAATCCACTATTTCCTATTTTTTGCTTTGTAACTGTATGCGAGATGAAAAAAACTTGTAAAACATCTTTTTGCCGTGTTCTAAGTTGCCATAACTGATAAAAATCAACAGACAGACACGGTAAAAGACTAATTCGCAATCAGACTTGCAATAATTAACAAGCTTATAACTGAGAACGCAATGTGAGCTTTTGCTTTTCGTGTTACAAAACACACATACCATGCTACGCGAGAATAAAAATTCAATTAAGTTGTCTTCTTTGTCGTAAAGAGCAAAAAAATGACATCACTTTGGCCAAGACAATAGTCTATTTTATTAAATTCGAAACATATAAATAGGACAGCCGTCCAAAAAAATTATTTTTGTTATTTTTTCGTAGAGAAATTCCTCTCGGGCCATTTCAGCGCACGGAACTCAACCTTCTACATTGTTTCATTAACAAATGGTTCGAATTTAAGAAGTTGGAAGCAACCATTTGAAATAGTCTAATAATTAAACCGTATTGCTCGAAAATGTATTTAAAGGGTTGGTTTTCGACTTTGTTGAAGAATAACTCTCTTCCTAACTCTTCTCTTGACCATATCTCTCAATATAATCAAAATAACCTTAATATAACGAATGTCAAAATGATTGTAAACGCGACCAATTTAAGATATACGATCAAGAGGAAACATGAACGATGAATGAAAAAATCAAACAAATTTATTTAATAAAACAAAATTTACAACCCAAAAAATTTTTTTTTTTGCATGTAATAAAATTCCATTATTAACTATTAACAATCTAATTATATAGATCTTGACCGATCAAACCCGCCTATATAGTTATTGAATAATTGATAATAGTAAAACGTTAATTAAATATATTTTACAAACAGCTTCGTAGATCTCGACTTTAAGACTTACTTTGATCAAACCCACCTATAATAAAATTAAATCTTCAGATAATTATATACATAGTATTTGGGTGATCTTCTAAATTTCTGACATCATCATTATGAATTGATTCAAAATTTAAAGACGGTTTAATTATATTTTTTTGATAAATAAGATTTAGATTTTTATTTCTGGTGTTTTGTATTAGATATTTTTTTTTTTTTTTGAAATTTTACAAAAAATTTTGCACTATTTATAAAAGTTTTACTGAATAAAATTAAATAGCTGGAATGCCAAAATGAAAAATTCGGCCATTTCACCAAAAATTTATTTTTAATAATTTTTGCCTCACGTTGCAAATTTCCGTGTAACAAAATTTCGGGAGTCATTTTCTCTGCCGGAAATCACCCCACATATTAATATGCAGGTAATTCATTTAAATTGTTGTTTGACAAATTAATTTTTTTCTTTTTGAAAACAAAAAAAATGGAGTCAACAATATTAGAAAAATATTTTAATGAAAATGAAAGATTATTAAATACAGAAGATTTTTATGATGTAAAAATATATGTAGGTGTAGAACCAAACATAAAGGAAATTCATGCACATGCATCTGTCATATGTACTCATTGTCCATTTTTTAACATTGCATTAAGTAATGCAACAAAAGAAAATGGCTATTATATTGTTAAAAAGGCCAGTATTAATGAGCAACTTTTCAAGAATATTCTAAAGTAAGTTTATATTAAACTACTATTATATTAATTTATTTATTAATTCATTATTGAATATATGATAATTATTATTTATTTTTAAAAGATTTTTATATACATGTAAGATTGAATTAGACA